GGGAAAGAGATTGGCATTTTCCAGGAATTAAAAGGTCAATGTATCTGAAAATGTGATCAATGGGAAATGTGATAAGAGATAAGGAGAGTGAAGTTGGCAGAGTCTAGGTCATAAGGGACCATGACTCATGGAATTTTTTTTTGGCCGCACCTCACAGCATGCAGAACTTCCCAGACCAGGGATTGAACCCACGCCCCCCCCCCCCCCCCCAGTGGAATCTTAACCAATGGACCACCAGGGAAGTCCATGGATTTTTTTTTAAGAGCAATAAAATGCCATTGGACTTGTTACCAGGGGAGGGGGCGGGGAGGGATAAATTGGGAGATTGGGACTGACATCACTATATATAAAATAGATAACTAATAAGGACCTACTGTATAGCAGAGAACGCTACTCAATACTCTGTAATGACCTATATGGGAAAGAATCTAAAAAAGAGTTCACTTTGCTGTACAGTGGAAACTAACACAACATTGTAAATCAACTATACTCCAATAAAAGTTTTTTTAAAAATGCCATTGGAGAATTCTGAGCAGGTGACATGTTAGAATCCATGTTTACAGAAAATCACTTGCTACATTGCAATGAATGAAAAGGAAAGAGAGAAGAGTGGATTCAAGGTGTCCAGTTATGAAGTATTACAGTTGTCCACACGAAAAACAGGGGGGCTTGGATGGTGAAAGTGGAGGTAGAAAAAAATAATCATTCAAGATACATTTTGGAAAAACAAACCCATAAAAAATGGGCGAAGGACTTGAATAGACATTTCTCCAAAAAAGATATACAAAGGGCCAACAAGCACATGAAAAGATGCTCAACATCTCTAATCATTAGAGAAATGCAAATCAAAACCACAGTGAGATACCACCTTATGCCTATTAGGATGGCTACTATTTAAAAAAACCCCAAACTGGGAAAATAACAGGTGTTGGCAGGATGTAGAAAAACCGGGGTCCTTCTGCACTGTTGGTAGAAATGTAAAATGGTGCAGTTGCTGTGGAAAACAGTGTGGTAGTTCCTCAAAAAATTAAACAGTATTACCATATGATCCAGCAATTCCACTTCTGGTTATATACCTAAAAGAATTCAATGAAGGTCTCAAAGACATATTTGTACACCTATGTTCATAGCAGCATTATTTGCAATAGCCAAAAGGTGGAAGCAACCCACGTATCCAGCGACAGATAAATGGATAAACAAAATGTGATATATACATACAACGAAATATTAGTTACCCTTAAAAAAGGAAATTCTGACATGTGCTATAATATGGATGAATCCTGGGGATATTATGCCAATTGGAATAAGCCAGGCACAAAAAGATGAATACCATATGGTTATACTTATGTGAGGTACCTAGAGTAGTCAAATCCATAGAAAGTAGAACGGTGATTGTAAGAGGCTGTGGGGAGGAGAGGGCAATGGGAAGCTGTTGTTCAATGGGTGCAGTTTCAGTTTTGCAAGATGAAAAGAGTTCTGGAGATTGGTTGTACAACAATGTGAATGTACTTAACACTACTGTACACTTAAAAATGGTCATGATGGTATATTTCATGTTACGTATATTTTACCACAATTAAAAAACACACACGCACATACATTTTGGAGATTATAATTAGTTAGACCTCTTGGTTACGAGTGATAGAACCCCAATTTTAACTGGCTTAGGCACAAGAGGGAGGTGATGAGAATTTACTGGCTCATGGAATCCAAGGGAGAGTTGAACCATGGGAAGGGCAGGAACATGGCACATCAGGAACAACTGGAACTAGGGACTTTGAGATTTTCCAGGACTTTCTCATTGTTTCTCACCTCTGCTGCTTTCTGCATGTCGGCTTCATTCTTTTCACTGCAGACCAGCTGGTTCCGCATGGCAGGACACATGGCTGCCGACAGCTCCTGTGTTTACATTTTACGGCTTCCAAACTGGAGAGGGATTTTCTTTTTCTCTTAGTCTCAGTTAAAAAAAATTCTGGGTAGGGACTCTGATTGGCCCATCTAGGCCCAGGACCAGTGGCCAAGGGTGTGAGGTCATTTAAGACAATACTATGCAATAGAAATACTTACAGAAACATGAAACAATGATTTCTATAACACAATATCAAATATGTACATTTAAAACACATACATATATAAAACAATACTATATTATTATTCAAAGATACATGTATATCCAAGGACATGTATCAAACACATTAGAGTGGCTACTGAAGGAAGAGGGAAGGAACATGACTGGGAATTGGAATGAAGGAAAAAAAGATAAAATGAGAAAGGCCTTGTTGATGATAATGTGAGCTGAACAGCAGGACTGCCTCAAATCTCTGCACCTGAGGGAAAAATAGGAGCAAATGAAGGGAGTAAAAGAGGAAATAAAGGAGAAAAGGAAATAGACAGAAAAAGGAAAAGAGAAAGTACTTCTGAGTGAGAGTAAGGGACAGTTTTCAAGATGAAAGGAAGGTGAAAATGTTGAGGTGATGAACTCCATATGTCACCACTACAGATATAGAAGAGACATATCCTGATATTGGATTGAATGTGGGGACTGAGGGAGAGGGAGGTGTCAAGGATAACTGTTGGGTTTTGACTTAGATGGTGGTATAATTTACTGAGATATAAGGCTGGCAAAGAAACAAATATTTTAGGGGAAAATCAGAGATTTGATGACCTATGAAGCATTTGGTAGGATATCTTGAATTTTCAAAATTTTTTGCCAGAAATGTGTCTATTTTAATGTCTATTTCTGAAGAATGAGTGCTTCAATTTATCAAGTGCTGTTCTTTTTTCTTTATTATTTCTGATTTTATCTTTATTTCTTCCTTCTATTTTTATTTTCTTTTTCTACCCTTATTGAATACGTAGCTTATTAATTTTCATTCTTTTTATTTATTTATTTATTTATTTGGGCACGCTGTGCAGCTTGTGGGATCTTAGTTCCCCAACCAGGGATCGAACCCGGGCCCTTGGCAGTGAGAGCTTGGAGTCCTAACCACTGGACTGCCAGGGAATTCCCAAGATAACCATTTAAAAAAGTTCGGTATGTATTCTTCCACATCTTTTTTGATGTATTTATATAGAAATTTACATATGCAATAAGTGGTTTTGCTGCACTCAGACAGAACCATACTCTATGTCTTGTTCTGCAATTGGCTTAAAAAATTAACAATGTATCTTGAATATATCAGCACATATTTTAATTCTTTAAACTCAGCTTTCATTGTGATACAGGTCTAAATATGGTTGTCTTTTCACTTATTTCTACCTGGTATTTCATGAACCCTTTAAATCTGAGGGTTGAATTTAAGTCTTAAATCTACATTTTCCATCAACTTAGTAAATTTTCTTCTATTATATATTTGATTATTGCCCCTCCTCAGTCAGTTCTGTTATCACCTTCTGGACTCATATTTGATTATTAGTTTTCTGGATCCATTCTCCATATCTCATACCTTTACCTCTCAATAGTTTCTATCTATTATATTTTTCCTCTGAGTTCTCATAAAAGTTTTTGAGCTGGTTTAACTTTTGGCATACCTCATCTGCAGCTCACTGATACTGCTGTATTAATTTGGCAATGGTGTTTTTCCTCTCTAAGAAAGTTTCCTTCAGATTATTTTTCCATTAAAAAAAAACTGTTGCAATGTCCTCGTCAATTTCACTATGAAAACAAATTAGTTTTAAACATTTTTTTCTTATTTCTTTCATATCTGTTTTAAAGATTGCCATTTGCTCTGACCACTCCAATCACTCCCCTTCTTTTGCTATCTACTGACTTTCTCCATCTGTTGAGAACTTCGTGGAGGCGAAGCGTCTGCCCCCTAATAGGAATTGAATGAGTTGTCAGAGATTGTTTAAATCTTTTAAGCCCAGTCTAAGGAATAATCGGTAGCTATTCTTTGATGGTGTAGAGGTCCAATAGGTTGTGTGGGACTGGGAAGGAGCTCAAGAGGTGGAGGGAAGAAGCCTTGCAAGAGGAGGGAGTTCCACCACAGTTCTGAACACGGGGCTCATGAACAAACAGGTAAAGTACCAGTCTTCAGATCCAGTTACATTTTAAAGATGACAAAAAAAAAATCAACCTGAGATCCAGGAAAGTCAAGTAATTTTTCCCAGAATCCACAGTGCTACAGAAATTCCCAAATCGACTCATAACACCTCTTGACTTATTTCCACACAACCCCTTCCCTCAGCAAGAGCCATCTATACTGTATTAAAAAAAAAAAGTCACGAAGTTTGGGATGTAGATTGCCATAAAGGAAAAGACTTTTGAGTCTCTGGTAATTATCGATTGTGTCACCCTGGGCATTTGCTACGGTTCTCTGGGATTCAGTTTCCTCATCTTAAAAAAAAAAAAAAAAAAAGAAAGAAAAAAAAGGGGCATAATACTAACTATCCTACAAGATCTTGAAGGTCGCAAAGTAAAAGCCTGGGGCAGTAGTCCGGGCCTGTGGCGGGAGACCCTGGCCTAAGATGAGTGGAAAGGGCCGGACGGTGGAGGCCCCCGTCAACCCGAGCCCCAGGCTGGTACCGGTGTCCTCGAAGGACACCACGGCAGCAAGAGCAGCCACCGCAGCGAACGCCCACCTTGCCTGGCCTGGCTCGGCCGGGCCAGACCTCACCTCACCTCCCAGGCGCCGCGCCTCCAACTCCAGCCTCAGCGTACCTTCCCGGCCACACCTCTGCGCACGCGCGGTGCCCGCCTGCCCCGCCCAGGCTCGCGGCCCGCCTCTTCCCGACCGAACGTGCGTTCGGCGCTTTTCCTCCCAGTGCGGCCACCGTCGTTTGGGGAGGAGGGCAGGAGGGGGCGGGGAAAAGGGTGGGAGGTGGATGAGCGCGCGCGCCGCCCGTCCGTCGTGGTTTCCTGGCTGCGCGCGGCGCTGGTGGAGTAGCTGCAGCTGCAGCAGCAGCCGCGAAGATGGCGGAGGGGTTGGAGCGTGTCCGGATCTCCGCGTCGGAGCTGCGAGGGATCCTGGCCACTCTGGCTCCGCAGGCCGGGAACAGAGGTGAGTCGCGCCGCCCAGCTCCTGGGCCGGGCCTGCCCGCCCCGCCTCCCTCTCCTCCTCTGCCTCCTCCCCGCTCAGTTCGTGGTGCTCCAGAGCCCCCGCCCCTTCCCCCAACAGTGGGGGCGGGGGCCGAGGGCGGTCCCTCCCCGCTCTACCAGCCAGAAAGCCGGTGTGGGCTCGGGCTCTGCAAGCTCTGGCCCCTCCGGGAGAGCGCAGCCCGGGTTCCTTCCCCCGCCCCCTTTCTAACGGCGAAGGTGACTGCTCCCCATTGCCCCAGACCTCTCACAGGATTCCCAGCCGTCAGGGGACGCGGAAAGGAGTGGGCTCCGGGGTCTGGTGGAGGCCCCCGGGGTGTATGGTTCCCCGAGGAGTCATCCGCAGGCCTGCCCCGTCGTTTCTTTAGTGTTGGAAGGAGCTGGGAACATCGAGGAGGAAGGTTCAACAGCTTGGGACTTCTTTGCTGAACTTTTCCCCCGTAAGTGAGGCTTCTGAAGGCTGCGCCACCGGAGGGATCCAGGACCTCAGAGAGCTGACTCTACTCTGGTTTGGCTTTGGCATGTGTGGGAGCAGTTTTTATCAGGGAGAATGTTCAACTTGCAAGTTAAAGTCTCCAGCCACACCAGGAAAGCACCAAGGAAGATTCTGGTGCCTCACCTCTCTTTGGTTAGGCAGTGGAGTCGTGTAGAATGGTAGTTATATTCCTGCAGGCTTGTGGCAGAAGTCTGAAATTGGTTTTCATGGGTCACGTGCACTGGATTATTCAGGTTGTTTTCTCCCTCCTCTCTGGAAAGTGGTAATGGCTCTTCCCACCCGACCCCGCAGCTTGCACAGGCTGCTGAGGGTGAGCTGTTCTGGAGTTAACTGCTTTACGTTTGTTCGTAGTGGATGAGGCAGTCTTTTAGACTTCACAAAATACTGAAGCAGTATCTTAAACTTAAGGGTTTTGTGGGGTTTTTTTTTTTTTTTTTTTTGGCGGTACGCGGGCCTCTCACTGCTGTGGCCTCTCCCGTCGCGGAGCACAGGCTCCGGACGCGCAGGCTCAGCGGCCACGGCTCACGGGCCCAGCCGCTCCGCGGCATGTGGGATCCTCCCGGACCGGGGCATGAACCCGTGTCCCCTGCATCGGCAGGTGGACTCTCAACCACTGCGCCACCAGGGAAGCCCTGTGGTTTTGTTTTTTTTCCAATTTCGTTACACCCATGGGTGTAAATGCTGGAGCGTGTGATCCCTGTTATGAGCTTGTTTGCATTTGTGTTTATAGGATTTTCTATAACTTTCCATTTTGAGTGTACTCTGTAATCTCACTAATTTCTGTTTCTTCCCCACTGAACAGTTTAGTGGCTATTTACAGTAGACTCTCCCCTTAACAGATAAACGTAACAGGTAAAAAAATTGATGCTTGCTTATCTGTCATTCTGTAAGTTCCTGGAGCCTGGAGAGTGGTTTCTAAAGTCCTGTTCTCTTATTCTTGAGTGCCCCAGTCGTTGGTATTTTGAGAGTGTGTCACAATACTTCTGTCATCCTCCAGGGAAAGCTCCTTTATGGAGCTTTTTTCTTCTCATATAACATCATCATAGTAGCAGTTAGTCTCAGTATTCTAATGATGACAGTCTGAGCAGTATTTCCTTGGAAGGACCCTGCTGGCTGCTGTTAGAGAGTTGGTGAGCATGAGTGGAGTTGAAAAATGTGAAAGGAACTGCTTCCTGTTTGCTTCAACAGGAGGTATGTGATTGGATGGTTGAAATGCTAAAGAAGAGGATTGTCCTGGCCAAGTTCAGTGACTATAGAGTTGCAAATTTTTTCTCCAGAGATGTCCAGAACTGTGGATTGGTATGCATACTCCTCTTTTTCTCTGCCCTTCCCCCCCCCACACCGCCCCCGACCCCGACCCCTTAGTATGTTAAAAGGACTCAGCCACACTGGAAAAATGTTAGAGGCAGAAGAAGAGACCAAGATGGAGCTGAGGGCTCTATAGCAGAGAATAGTCCAATGCAGAACTGGTTAGAGATCTTTTATTCTATCAATGATTAGGTAGTTTGGGGTCTTGTGGATCCGAATATGATTTGGGTAACAAGAGAATGTAGGTTTTATTCCTTGTTTCCCCAACTCAGGTGTAGGTAGCTCCAACACAGTTAAGTTCTTAGTTTTGCCAGTTGCTGAACAAATATTGTAAACCTAGTAGAATTTCTGTTTCTGCAGAAATTTCCTTCCTTGTCCATCAGTATTAACATATCAATGTGTAATTCTTGCTTGACTTTTTTTTTTAAATGTTTATTTTTTGGTTGCATCAGGTCTTAGTTGTGGCATGTGGGGTCTCTTGTTGCGGCGTGTGGGCTCTTTGTTGCAGTGTGTGTGGGCTTCTCTCTAGTTGTGGCACTCAGGCTCATTAGTTGTGGCACGTGGGCCTAGTTGCCCTGCGGCACGTGGAATCTTAGTTCCCTGACCAGGGATCGAACCCGTGTCCCCTGCACTGGCAGGTGGATACCTAACCACAGGACCACCAGGGAAGTCCCTCTTGCTTGACTTTTAATGACAATTCCTTTTCCTTTCCTTCCCCTTTATTATTCTACCTCTTCCTCCCCAACACTCTCTCCAACATCACAGAAAACATGAAGGAGCCCAGGCAGCGCAAAGATAACAGGCGCCCAGATCTGGAAATCTATAAGCCTGGTCTTTCCCGACTAAGGAACAGACCTAAAATCAAGGAACCCTCTGGAGGTCACGAATTTAAGGATGAAATTGTTAATGACAGAGATTCTTCTGCTGTTGGAAGTGGTACACAGCTCATTAAAGATGTCTGCAAAGACAGCCCACAGCAAAATGGTCCTGTAGACCCAGAAAATACTCGGGCACAGGAGTCTTTTCCTAGGACTGTTGGACAAGAGGATCGAAGCCTAAGAATTATCAAGAGAACAAAGAAACCTGACATGCAGATCTATCAGCCTGGAAGGCGTTTGCAGACTGTTACCAAAGAATCGACCAGCAGGGTGGATGAGGAAGAAATCGTCAACCAGGTAGAACAACTGAGAGTAGAGGAAGATGCATGTAGGGGAAATGTGAAAGAGGAGGTTGTGAACAAGCCAGACAAAGAGGAGGCAGAAAAGAGCCTAAGTGGTGACAGAATAAGGGCTGCAAAGGGGGAAAAAGGAAAGAGGGTTGAAAAAGGGGAGGGCGTGAAGAAGGTGAGTGATGACCCAGCTCAGGGGAAGCCAGGTTCTGTGAAGCGCTACTCCCGCTCAGACAAACGAAGGAACCGCTACCGCACTTGCAGTACCAGCTCAGCGGGTAGCAACAACAGTGCCGAGGGGACCGGCCTGACTGATAATGGAAGTCGCCGCCGCCGCCAAGATCGGACCAAGGAGAGGCCACGACTGAAGAAACAAGTATCTATGTCCTCAACTGACTCCTTGGATGAGGACAGAATCGATGAGTCTGATGCGCCACAGAGGAGCTCAGAAAGGAAGAAACATTTAGAAAGAAGCTGGTCTGGCTGTGGGGAGGGAGAGCAGAAAAGCAGCGGTAAAGAAAATCGAGGCACTCTTCACGTTACTTTCGATGCAGAAACCATGAACAAAGATTCCCCCATGGTGAGGTCAGCCAGGGAGGATTCGGATAGGTTAAAGTCAGACAAAGGCTCGAGCAGTGTGGGCAAAGGCTCTGAGAAGCAGGAGTCCAAAAACCTGAGACAAGAACTTCGGGGTCGTGGCCGTGGCATTCTGATTCTGCCTGCCCATACCACCCTGTCTGTCAATTCAGCCGGTTCTCCAGAGTCTACGCCTTTGGGACCTCGGCTTTTATTTGGATCTGGTAGTAAGGGATCTCGGAGTTGGGGCCGAGGAGGCACCACTCGGCGATTGTGGGACCCAAACAATCCTGATCAGAAACCTGCTCTAAAGAGCCAGACACCGCAGCTGCATTTCTTGGACACTGATGATGAAGTCAGCCCTACCTCTTGGGGTGACTCACGCCAGGCCCAAGCGTCTTACTATAAGTTTCAAAACTCAGACAACCCTTATTATTACCCCCGGACACCAGGCCCCGCCTCCCAGTATCCTTATACAGGCTATAGCCCTCTGCAGTACCCGGTGGGCCCTACAAACGGTGTGTACCCAGCGCCTTACTACCCAGGCTACCCAACCCCATCAGGACAGTATGTCTGTAGCCCCCTCCCTGCCAGCACCATGAGTCCTGAGGAGATGGAGCAACACATGAGGAACATGCAGCAACAGGAACTACATCGGCTTCTCCGGGTGGCTGACAACCAAGAGCTGCAGCTCAGCAACCTGCTCTCCAGGGACCGCATCAGTCCTGAGGGCCTGGAGAAGATGGCTCAGCTCAGGTATGGTGGGTTCCATCCTGGCTAGAGGGGAATGGGGATAAGCTGGAGGTGTGCAGGCCCCCATGGCTGAGGAAGGTAGAAACCTTTTAGGTAAGCTGCCGGGTGTTATCTCTTTCTCACATTGATTTTTGTAAGGGAAGGGGAGTTGGAAAAAACAGAACAGAAAATTTTGTTTCTAGTCCTAGAAATGATTATATTTCCCACTTTTTCTTTAAGAAGAAAAAAATCTTTTAAGAGAACATGGAATCTGGATATGGAAAAGGAAAGACTTTCTAAAGTGCCAAGAAATGAACAACATGTAACTTGTGGTGAAGATTTTACTTTGGCTGTTAAATTTAGGTGGAGGCATATGGGGAAGAACTACTTTCCTAGACATAACTGTCTTTAGAATGACATTCTGCTGTGCAGAATGGAAACTAGAGTGAGTACTATACCTGGTGGCATTTTGGATTTCCTGCCAAGGAAGGTGTTTGATTTGTAGGAACCTCAGATCTTGGGTCTAGCCTTTCCTGTGGTGTATTTGGAGCTAGAAGTTGCATGTATTTTATTCCAGAGCTGAACTGCTGCAGCTATATGAGCGCTGTATTCTATTAGATATCGAGTTCTCTGATAATCAGAATGTGGATCAGATCCTGTGGAAGAATGCTTTCTATCAGGTGATTGAGAAGTTCAGGCAGCTTCTCAAGGATCCGAATGTTGAGAACCCAGAACAGATTCGGAACAGACTTTTGGAGCTCTTGGATGAGGTAAACCATCATCTTTATGTCCTAGAATAAAGACTTCAACATCCTTTAGTTGTGATGGGTTTTTACCACCCAAAATACTATGTTTTATAACAACGTTGACAACAAACTGTATGCTCTTTTCTTGGGTTTAGGCCTACCCTATGTCTGTTACTTCTTCTGGCAATTGGAGTTAGTTTTGAGTTTGGAAGCTTTCTGAATGTCTTAAGTGGAGAGAGAGAGAGAGAGAGAGAGAGAGAGTTTTCATATCTTTAAAACCATGGAAAGGCTTATGCTATCAATTTGTCTTGTGCTTAGTTGGTGGCCACTAAATACTGTATATGCCTCCTTTTACATCAGATGGCTGAGCATTAACAAAACTGTGAAAGGGTCACTTGCCCCACTTTCTGGGTAGATTGGATCGGAACAGGCTGATTCGGCTGATTCTTATTTTTTCTCTTTATAGGGTAGTGACTTCTTTGATAGTTTGCTTCAGAAGCTGCAGGTTACTTACAAGTTCAAACTGGAGGACTACATGGATGGTCTTGCGATTCGCAGCAAGCCATTACGAAAGACAGTAAGCCAGCTTCTTTATCTTAAATTTATTCACTCACTTAGTAAGCATTTATCTGGTGTTAGTTATGTGCTAGGCACTATGCTAGGTGTTGAGCATACAAGAATGAAAAATACAGCCCTGTGGGGGAACAGACCAATTAAACCAACAACTATAACGTAATATCATGAGTACTACAGCAGTGGCATATATAGAGTATTGAAGGGGCATGGAAGGAATTGAATCTGCTTTAGACTGGTGAGGGGGGGGTGTCAAGGAAAGTTTCTTAGAGACTGTCAAGTTGAGTTTTGAAACATGACTAGGAGTGGAAGGGGCAGTTTTGATACAGGGCACAGTGAGAGACTCATACCTTGCTGGAAAAGTATAAGAGGTCAGCATGCTGTTGTCTGTAATGTGGATTGGGCTGTTGGAGGAGGTAAAGCTGATGAAGTAGGAAGGGATGGATCATAATCTCTTACATGCCATGCTGAAGAGTTTGGATTTTTTCCTGAAAGCAGTGAGAAGCTATTGATCGATTTCCAACAAATGGATAGCATAGATTTGTTCTTGGAACCAGTCACTCTGGGAAATGGATGAGTTCGGGCAAGAGTAGAAGTAGGAGGGTCAGGTGTGGGCCTGAACTGAGGTAGAGGTGGTGGAGGTGGAGAAGAGGAGACAGATTGGAAAGATATAAAGGAGTAGAATTGAGTTGCTGGCTGGTTAGGTGTGAATGATGAGATTGGAGGCATGAGAAGACCAGATCATCTCCCATTTTGTGCCCTAGGAGAGAGGCTGGGAAGGAAGAGATTAGTTTTGGATCAGCTTAGGTCGAGGAGCTTGAAAATGAACAAATGAATGTTATGGTGTGTCTGGAGCTCAGGAGAAAGAGCTGGGCTGGTGATAGAGATTCAGAAGTCATCAATGTGTAGGTGATAGTTGAAGCAGAAGCTGGGAAACTAGGAAAGCTAGCCAGAGAGCAGGGGGTCAGATTTTTAAGGTGGTGGTGGGTAAAATTGTCAAGTGCTGTAAAATCCTCAAATGTTAAGATTACTAAAAACTGTCCATTGGATTGGATGACCTTATGAGTTATATTAGTTGGAGAGGATGGAGACCAGATTGTAGTGAGTGAGAAGTGGGGCAGCAGATATAATGAGAGGGTAACTTAGACTGTTCTTTTAAGAAGGCTGTGAAGGCAAGAAGGGAAGATAGTAGTCAAAAGACGTAGTGTTGGGCTTCCCTGGTGGTGCAGTGGTTCAGAGTCCGCCTGCCGATGCAGGGGATGTGGGTTTGTGCCCCGGTCTGGGAGGATCCCGCGTGCCGTGGAGC